GATTCTCTGTTCGATATTTTCATGACACGTTCCAGGTACGTCTGAAACCACCAAATACCCAAGACTTCCTTGAAGACGTTGTAAAACTTATCAATGGCCGATACAAGGGGAAGTCTGGTAATATTTCATCCTTATTTGTGCCCATCTCTCCTACATGGTACTGTAATTTGATGCTGCTTTAAGGCTTGTGTGAAATGACAAGACATAAACAGGGCAGCCTATATTTTTCTGGCATTCTCTTTTAGGTTTTTGAGATAAAATACATGATTTGATTGCAAGCAAAGAGTACCTTCCAGAACAAGAACTTGATCTCACTCTGTAGGTGAGCGCTAAAGTACTGTATGTTCATGTAGGGAGAATATCTTCAGAATAATGGATAATCTCTGTTTACTTTGAGAACAATGTATTCTAAAATATGAAGGATTCACAGCCTTAAAAGGAACCTATAATCCCAACAATAGATCCCCCTTTGGTTTAAAAAACAAAACAAAAAAAACTTACCTCGTCTCCGCTGCCTTCCAAAAACATCAACATGCCTGCTGACGTCTTCTGTGATCTCCAAGTTAATGCTTCTCACTGGATTGGAAATCGGCAAACGTGACCAAACGCTGCGCTCCTCCATTAAAATGCTGCTAGACGTGGATTTAACCCTGCAATGGAAACGTGTTTCTACAAAACTGCAATGTTTTATATTGCTGGGTTAAAATCACAGGACAACCGCACTGACTATTAGATTGAGATACCGTGGTCTGGCTAACTTTAGTGGTCCGTTGATTTCCATCTGTGAAAGGCTGTCCTCCCAAATAAATGATTTATGAATTATAAATGGCTCAATGCCCAGATAATCAAACTAAGACACATGGAATTCATGTCTCGAGTCTCGAGCCTCGGAGTTCACACAATGAGACCATCCAGGTACCCTCTGCCCATGTTTGTACATCTCTCCAGTGCCAGGTGCCAAATGCTTTCAGGGTTATTCACTAAATCCAGAATTTTCAAAAAATAAATCTAAATAGAAAAACTGAGCAAAAAATATTAAACCTTGAAAAATTCTTCATCACAAAAGTCACAACTCCGTGTTTGACAGTTGGATTTAATTCAAAAAAAGTCTGTTTGGTGAATTGCCCTTTGTTCTTAAGACTAATCGGTTTTAGCTCATGGAGTGAACAGAGAGATCCTCTTCCCAAACATTGAGAGCGATGTGTAGGATTCTGGCTTCCCACGGGATCGCAGCCAGCAGACTGATTATTTTAACACTAATCTAGATACTTGATTAACTTCCACTCTGCTTTTAATAGAAAATCCTATACATCTTCACAGCTGAAATAATTGCAGATGAGATCTCTCATTCACACATCACTGGGTACAATGAATCCTTGTTTCTACACGCCATTCTGGAGTATTGTAATAATTACAGCACTGACGCCATTCTGGAGTATTGTAATAATTACAGCACTGACGCCATTCTGGAGTATTGTAATAATTACAGCACTGACGCCATTCTGGAGTATTGTAATAATTACAGCACTGACGCCATTCTGGAGTATTGTAATATTTACAGCACTGACCCCATTCTGGAGTATTGTAATAATTACAGCACTGACGCCATTCTGGAGTATTGTAATATTTACAGCACTGACCCCATTCTGGAGTATTGTAATATTACAGCACTGACCCATTCTGGAGCCTCTCTAGAACTCCTGGTAGAACACTAACAGTTCTTTCTTTTTCTCCAGGAATTATCTATTGCTTTTCTCAAAAAGATGCAGAACAGGTAACCATGAGTCTGCAGAAACTGGGCATCCGAGCTGGCACGTACCACGCCAACATGGAGCCTTCAGATAAAACCATTGTTCACACCCGCTGGACGGAGAACAAGATTCAGGTAAGTGGGAGATTACAAAGGCTCCCAGTGTCACGCTATCCTGTCTGAAGTAAGAAAACACCTGCTTTATGTTTTAAGGTGGTTGTGGCGACGGTAGCCTTCGGAATGGGAATTGATAAACCAGACGTGCGATTCGTAATTCACCATTCAATGAGCAAATCAATGGAGAATTATTACCAAGAAAGTGGGCGAGCAGGTAACTTGACATGAGGGGCTGTGCGGACTATGCAGCCGTATCGTTATAGTGTAGAAGGAGATTGATAAAGTAGTGGATATTGTCAGAATAGAACAGGGGGAATCCCAGATATGAAGATGCACTGTAGATGCTGGCTTTTTGTTTTTTGGGATGTTTAGTGATGGTCCCCCATAGTTGGCAGGCACAGTGTTTATTTTACAATGTCTGATGACCTTGGTAGTGGCCCCCATGCAATTTAAGGAGCTTTTTAAACCGGTAAAGGGCTCGGTAGTCCCAGGGCTCAGCACTGAAGTTGGCAGGCACATGTTTTAAATACTGGGATCCACTTAGTAGTAAATAAGCGGCTGTGTGTACATCGCCAGGGATTTAAAGTGGTGATGGTGCCTTAAATCTGTGTGTGCACCATTTCTCTTTAAAATGCTGCACATACGGAATTCAACCTCTTTGCTTCTGTAATCCGCTCTTACAGCAGTTATAGCGGCATCATTAGCCAGCTCGGGAAACCAGTTCTGGGCCTGCTAATATGAATTGTCTTAATTTCATTGCACGGAATATCATTTATTGGCAGTATACATTCTCGGCAATGAATGGCCGGTGGGATCCACTTCCTGATCCTGCCGCTGAAGCCAACAG